GCCTGAAAATTACGTTTCATTTCAAAAGTGGAATAAAGAAAAGAATGTTGTTTAAATAAAAAGATACATTATTCTTTATAATTTTCTTGAAATTGCTTACGGCTTTTCTGACTTTTGTTTTTCTTCCTGAAACAAACAAAGTTTTTTTTAAAAAAAAACGTTGCCCCACGCTAAAATTTTTTGCTGTGTCGTGGGTGCGTTTACAAACGTACAATATCACATACACATGACATCCAAACACGTCAAAGGTGCCTCCCTGGTCTAATTGAAATAAATGATTTTGACTTTGACTTTGTCAAAGGTTAGGTACATACGTAAGTGGCGACTTACAAACCTATGCTAAATATTAATCATTATTTATAATGAAAAAGAATCATATTTTAACATTACAAAATAAAACTCACCTTTTGATTTTTCGGAGGAGATTTGGTTGGCTATTAACGGTGAAAGAAACGATTTCAAATGTCACAGCATAGAATCTAATAATATAATACAATAAATAAACAAAAAATCTAAGGATACTTTCATCTGAATTTTATAATTAGAATCAAGTCTTAACTTGTGTATAAAAATTTAACTGTGGAAGAACCATACTTCGGCCACGAATGAGTCGGTTCGACTAGAGTGATACCACCTCATAAAAAACCGAGCGACGTGAAACAACCATAGCGTGCCCAGTTCCCAGTCCCCAAATTCCCAAATATCTTATGGATCAAAAGGCTAATGACGCACTTGTAACATTTCTGGTGTTTCGGGTGTCCATGGGCGGCGGCGATTGCTTACTATCAGGTGGCCCGTCTGCTCGTTTACCGGATTATTCCATAAAAGAACTATGAGTAATAAAATTATTTTACAAGTTAGCTACAAAATAGTATCGAATAAATATAAAGCCACGATTGAAAAACATTATTTAAATATCACTTAAATAATATCAGACTATAAAATGAAACTATTCATTATAAAAAAAATATCTTACTTCTGCTCTAGAGCGGAGAGCCTGTGAATCCTAAAAATGATAGCATCATATCTTTTATTTTCAAAATGAGTATTAATGTGTTTTAAAACTATTAAACTAATACAAAAAATGCGAAACTTAAAAAAAAAGGAGGAGGTTCTCAATTCGACTATATTTTTTGAAGTATTTAAAACCACTACAATCTGATAACGGTCTGGAGCTGATCTGATGACGGAGCCGATAGGCAGACGAAGGAACTCCTCAACGGTAACAGTAGCTACATTGTGTTTGGGTTTGATTAATTTTTATTGATGAGGAGTTTATACCTATATGGTAGGTGATTGCCAATAAGGATCTGATGATGAAGTACTACCATAGTTGAGGGAACTCCTCAACGGTTAACAGTAGCTATCTTGTGTTTGGGTTTGATTAATTTGTATTGATGAGGACTTTATATCTAGGTGGTATGTGATTGCTAGTAAGGGTCTGATCATGAAGTAGTACCATAGTTGAGAGAACTCCTCAGCTATTACCAGTAGCTATCTTGTGTATAGG